ATTTAAGACATAAAGAAGATAGAAACTTTCGGAAATATAAGTCTACAGTTGTCAAACTAGCTAAGAAATACAGTAGGGACCTTTACTAATTACCAATAAATTATTTTGTATGGTGTGGCGCTATCAGCATCTACATATATCTCATGTGATGAACTTTACTACTTGTCAGATTCACAGTTCAATATTGCTCAATTTTTAAGAATGTCAACTGTCAAAAAATGAGCCAAAATCATGATATATTAATAGTGCCACATATATTAGTAGTGCATGCATCACAGCGTCTAAAAGCATACCAAACAGAGATTTAACCTAGATTTTGTTAACAGCGATCGCCCAATTTCCCATTAATTTTTTTTCAACATAACTGAGACCTCCAACATTTTTGATGCATTGTAAATTGATCTTGCAAGCTAGTATCACATTATGATGCCCGGGAACTCCTCTAATGATATGCTAACAACAATGTAGGAAGAAAATATTATTCATTCCAAAAAGAAGAAGAAATGCATAAGAGAATAATAGATTAACTAGCCTTCAATTAGAGCATGTATCAACAATCACACTGCATGAAGTGCTTCATAAAAACTGGAAACTTAATCCTCTGAACCCTGATCCTGTTCCGGGCTTCTACTGGTGTGCATTTCTCTGATCAATGATCCTCTGTGCACTAATGAACAAATAGTGTGCCTGTTGATGTTAACTCAATGCCATAGTGATGGAATTACTTTAGACTTGGCAGTTGCAGAGGAAGTCCAAGGGCCCAAAGACTTTACAGCAAATGATTTTGCAGGCTGAAGCCCAAATCCAGATGCAACAAGGCTTCAATTTGCTTCTATTGTGGGCTTCAATATGCCGAAACTTCAATAGTCAATATAAGGTTCTCCTCATAACCTCCATGAGAAGGAGATAGGATTCTCACATGGCATAACACCCATTTTTTATTTATTCTCTCGGTCTTCCTTTCAGGCAGCTCTACTCTCCTGAAAATTCAATGTGCCTTCGGGGAAGAAGGGAGCATTGGGAACGAAAGTAGTGATAATGTGGAGCGTTCTACATAAATCAACAAATGTCAAGGATAACACAGTATCAAACGGGACTGGCTCTTGGAGTAAGGGGCGGATCCGGCCCCTCCCTCATATTTTTTAAAAAATTACTAATATCTAGACCAACAAATTAAAACTTTAACTATATTTTAAGGGACGGTATTTTTCACCCTTTACTCATAATTTTCCTACATTTCAAACGTCACTGTTCAACAGCTCAAAATTATTAAAGAAATTTGAGTTATTATCTATATTTATATCAAGAAAATTCTTTTTTTTTTTTTAATTAATTCATATTAAAAGTCAACGCAACGTTGACTTGATTTAAGTTTCTGTTGACATTTATTCAAAATTTTGTTTTTTATAGATTTATTCAAGTAGGAAAGTATTATGTTATTATATTCTTTTTTTTCAAATTCTTGATATTGTATTATTTTCTTTGTTTAAGGTTTGGTAATTTTTTTAAGTTTTCACTAATTATTTGACAAGTAGTGGTGGAATTGCAGAGGCCTTCGGGGCAAAAATCCTAGGTCCGCCTCTGCTTGGACCGGTCAAGGATAAATTTGATTTGTATAACAATGAATAGCACAGATAAGAGTGATAAGGATTAATACTCAAACCTCATTAATAGTAGTAGACAGTGTCGAGCATGGTTGTCAAATCACGTATCATATATCGAGCATGGTTGTCAAATCACGTATCATATATCGAAAACCTAATTTTTTTAATCGCGTATCGTATCGTAGGATACTCCTTTGTAAAAAAATAATAATAATAAATAAAACAATAAATTTTTTCTAAAAATTAATATCATTCCTAAGATTAATTAACGAATTTTGTGATATTATTATGGTATTACATAATCAAAATTAATCACAGAATTAAGAATCTAAATCATTTCCTCTCAATCATTCATATCATTTCCAAGATCAATGTCAATATATATATCTCCACTTGTGTTATTATTATCATGCAAAATGGGTAATATATATTTCTCTTCACTTTCTCCATGCAAAATGGATAAATTTAGATGGGTTTTAGTGAACTGGGTTGGGTGACCTGAATCCAACCGATCTATTTCAACCCGTCTTGAAATTTTTTTTGGGCCTTTGACCCAAAATAATAAAGTCGTATAAATTTATATTGATATTTTTAAAGATATGAACCGATACGTATCGTATTATAAAATACATATCAACGTATCGAAAGGTTTATGATACATTCTTTGATACGTATCGTTGACGACCCGTATCGAATCATATCGTATGATACATATCGCATATCATAGGATACTAATAACAATGGTGTCTGAGTGTCAACCATTATTAATTACACCATGAAAAACCTTGTTTTAAATAGGACAAAATTAACGACAAGGAGCTCCGTGCAATTAAGATTTAACACGGTCAAGCCCATATGTTGGGTCATGCCTGTTGATGGAGGTAGTTGCTGGCTCTAACTCTTCACCCCCTAGTCAAGCACTCAGCCTTATTGGGTAAGGAGTCAGACCCACCTCAAATTCTATCATGGTATCAGAGCCCAGGTTCAGTTGAGCTGAGTGCTTGACCAGCGGGTGAAGAGTTAGAGCTAACAACTATCTCCATCAACAGGTATGACTAAACGTATGGGTTTGACCATGAGAGGAAGTATTGGAGTCTCACATCGACTAAGCATGCTCAAATTTACTAGTTTATAAAAGAGGATAATTCTTCTAATCAATAGGACTTTATTAAACGAGGAGTCAGACCCACCTTAAATTCTATCGCCATTGTTTTCCAATTTCTTTCCTCAGCTTTCTTTCATTACAACCAAACAGATAAAGATAATGATCGTACCTTTCGGTTACCCACGTGAATAAGTGCAACAGTAAAATCAATAAGAGTTTGACTATTCGTTTTGCTGCAATTGATGAGTTTATCAGAAGCGTCGTTGTCTTTCACATGAGATAAACAGAGAGGTGAAAATAAAATTGATGATGATGTAAAGAAATTAGAGATATATTCAAAGTGGGTTTGGTTTTGATGGTGATTGAAGATGAAAGAATTCATGTGACGTAAGGGATTACGCATGCTACTGCATTCATCTTTTGTGTCTCATTGTACATCAATTCATTTGCTTTGGTCCCATTTGCAGAAAATTGGAAGAAGTCAGAAGCGTCATGGTCATGCTACTGCTCTATCTATAAATAATGTTGAACTTCTTTTCCAGAAAATGGCCCATTTTTATTATTGAGTATATGAATTGGCAACGCTTTGTAATCATTAAAAAAAAAAAAAAAAAAAAAATTAACCAACTATCTCAAGATGATTGAATGATTTTTTAAAAACTCTTAAAGTGTATTATTTAAAAGGTTTTGAATTCGAATCTTTTTTCGGATACTAATAAAAATAGTTATTAAAATTCTTATTTATCAGTAGTTTTAGAATCCAAAAAAATTAGTTGAAATGTGATAAATTGATCTGAACATCATCGATCATCTAAAAAAAAAAAAAAACTTTTCTAAAAAAATATTTTGTGTTTTCAAAAGTTAGGATATTATTATGAACCCTTAACCACCCTTAAATTACGACGTAATATATGTCATTTTTGTATAATAGCAAACCAACAATGAATAAACATCAAACTTGTGTCACAAGACACAAATTCACTGTTTTTTTGTTTTAAATTTATTGAATTGATTTTCTTACTCTTATTCTTTTATGCCAACGAAAAGAAGCGTACGTGGTCCTGTTGAATTATTTTGTACAGAGATTAGTGGTAGAGTTTGTTATTCTTTTTCTTTGAGAATCATCTGTACAGAAGATATATTTGTACTGGTTTACACACACAAATACAAATATACTCAATTGAGTAATTCTTCAGCCAAACACTCTTTTTTTCCTCCTTTCCCCGAAGCTTTTCTTGTGCTCTGTTTTCAACTGTAATAAGCAAGCTAGACTGCCAGAGAGAATGTTAGGTGTCGGTGTAACTACGGTGATGGTGGCAGTGGAGTTCTTGGAAGTGGGGTTAAGTACTCTTACTAAAGCTGCCATTAACAAAGGCATGAGTGATTTTGTGTTTATTGTCTACACTAATGCCTTTGCAGCTTCTTTTATTCTCCTTCCATCTTCTCTTCTCTATTACAGGTAACTAATTCACTCCCACTACCACTCATTTATTCAACAAAGTTCTACCGAGATTGATAGAGCTTCGTATTTTCTTTTACACTACAGGAAAAGAAGTCGCCCTCTACTCACTGTCTCCATCGTTTCTAGAATCTTTCTTCTTGGGCTAATTGGGTACCTTTTCTTAATCAATTAAGATCAATTGCAAGAAAATTTTCCCACTTCTTTAGTTTATTTGGTGGGTTTGTAGTTGTTGTGTGCAGACTTTTATGATTACAGGGATAAGGTTTAGCTCTCCAACTTTGTCCTCTGCCATTACTAATCTCACCCCTGCATTCACATTCATACTTGCCATAATTTCCAGGTCAGTTTCTTCTCTGTTTTATCGTTTCCGGGCTCCCATTTTGGATATTTCCGCCAAAAGAATTTTCAAACTTAGAATTTGACAAAGTCCTTTTTAGTTTGACTGCAACTGAAGTAAATTTTACGTTTTGTTTATCTTATGAGAAAGTGAAGTAAATTTTAGGTTTGGTTTTCTGTTGAGTAAGAAGATAGAGCTAGAATTACTTATAATTGAACAATAATGTATGTGATTTCTCTGGAGATCCTTTGTTTTTCATCAATCCTAGATAACATTCTCGAACAATTTGGCAATGAGGGAGATTTATGAATGAATCTTCAAACTATTACTTTGTTTTTTTGAAATCCATTGAACTCTTATTGTTTTATCTGAAAGTTCATTATGATCTTGTGGTGTGCCTTCAGAATGGAAAAGCTAAACTTGAGACTTCAAAGCAGTCTAGCCAAATCTATTGGCACCATGGTATCTATTGCGGGGGCATTAACTGTGACTTTATTTAAGGGCCCAGAAGTTGTAACTACTTCATCTCCATACAATTTACGCGATGAAATTTTGTTGGCGCATACAAATTGGTTGATTGGAGGTCTTCTCCTTACAGCTGGTAGCTTTTCCCTGTCGCTATTGTACATCGTTCAGGTAATATTGATCAGAAACATGCAGAGTAGCTGTCAGGCACCGCTAGACACATGTTACCCATCATAATTCTGAACTGAACAAGAACTCTTTTTGCATTTCCAGACCTCCATTGTTAAGGACTACCCTGAAGAGCTGATGGTAACATTCATTTGTTGTGTCTTTGTGACCCTTCAATCTGCTATACTCGCTCTAATTTTAGAGGGTGACCCAAATGCTTGGAGACTAAAGCCAGGCATGGAGTTGATGGCCATCCTGTACTCTGTAAGTGTAGAGATTAATTTATGGTTTTTAATTTCTAAGAATTATGGTGCTGTTGTAGTTATTTTAAATATTTTAATAACTTGATCTGCTATTTGATATCTAGGCAGTTTTTGCTGTAGCACTTCGAACTCTTGTTCACACATGGGCATGTCACAAGAAGGGACCTGTCTATGTTTCCATGTTTAAACCACTTGGAATAGTCATTGCAATGGTAATGGGAGTTACTTTTCTTGGAGACACTCTTTATGTTGGAAGGTGCAGCTCTCTACCTGATATTTTCATATGGTTGTGTAATTATACAACTCGAGACTACATTTATTCTTTTAGTGTTTATTATCATGAACTTCTTTGAATTAGCTAAACCACATGCACTCGACTGCAACCAACTTCAAGAATCATTTCTATTTGCCATCACATGGTTCCTTCATATATAGTTGAATGATAATAACTATACTACAGTTCCTCTTGGTTCAGTCATGTTCTAAACTATAAAATGGTTCAACCTTTATTTCTGTGCAGTGTTGTCGGAACAGTTATTATTGCTTTTGGGTTTTATTCTGTGATTTGGGGCCAAACCCGAGAAGAAAAGATGGCTGATTACGAAGGAATGGACAGCTTGAAGCCCTCTTCACCCAAAATCCCTCTCCTTCAAAACAGAAGCATGGAAGCATAACAGTTTCGCATAGACCTAATGACAGATTATTTCGTTGCACAATAATTTCTAGGTCAATACAATCAAGAAAGTACGTAAACTTATATAATAAACTTTTGTTCAGAAATTATTGTCATCTTTATTGAGATAGTTGTTTAATTAACTTAAAACTGGCAGATGACGTCTTGTGACTAAGGTATCTGTATAGCTAGGAAAGAAGCAGATACGCTTGATAAAAATGTTCCGCATATATTAGGAGTTAATTTAATTTGTGCTGGATATTAACTTGTTTGTTTGTTTGTTCAAGGGTATATATTCTTAGAGCAAAAAAACATGTGTATTTTAGAGCCAACGACATATTCCCACCTGAGTTTAAATCTCAAGTAGATACCTTTAGTTGCATCTTTAAAGTAATGTCGTTTCTTTTATTTTAACAAATCTTAACTTTTTATTGTAGTGTGACGTACATTAGCACGCTAAAATGTGTCAGAGTTTTCTTTGACAGAAAATAGTCTCATTTTAGCTTTTTCGACTAATTCCGAAATACAAATTCACTTTCGAGACCATCGTTGGATTTCGCACAATCTCACAATCTCTATATAAAATCCATACCTTCATTTGCTAACTTCACTCACCGTTTTTTATCACCTCCAACAATCACTAACGATATTAGTTTAAGAGTGAGAATTTAGAATAAATGCAACCAGAGATATCAACTTGGGATTTTGCTTAACCTCATGTGGGAATACATCCTTTACTCTATATTTTATAATCTATTATCATATCATGTAACACATGTTAATATTTTCATTTGAAAGGACCCGGTTAGTTGGTTAGATTATAAGATACGTAGTCACACTCACAACAAACTTTCAACTATTTATTCAGAGAGCTCGGAAAAACTAGTCATAAATCATAAACAGACAGAACAACTTGACTCAAGCAAAGAGCAGAAATAAGATTTTTTTGCATTAGTATTTGGTGGATGCATAATTCACTATTAAACAATTGATCTCCTCAACACAAATGGCAAAGAAGACGTTTGAACATATGTACCTTACTCTATTTAGCAACTGAATGAGTCTGTGTATAAGAAGTGAAAACAAAACGTAGAATTCTGCAAAGAAGGAAGGGAGATAGAAGATGTGGGCGTTGGAGTAACGGCAGTGTGGTGGTAATGGAGTGCTTGGCCGTGGGCTTGGTTACTCTTACCAAAGCGGCTATGAACAAAGGCATGGGTAACTATGTCTATGGTTTACTCTACTGGTTTTGGAACCACCTTTATCCTTCTTCCTACTTTCATCTATACAGGTACATTCTCACTCACTAACACTAATTGATTCAAAAAAATAGCAAGACTTTATTTTCTTTACTCTACAGGAAAAGAGGCTGCCGTCACTCACAGCATCAATCATTTGCAGAATCTTTTTTCTTGATGATCGGGTACCTTTTATTTATTTTTTTATACTCAATTGAGATAGGAAAAGTGTGCTAGTGGTGAAATTTCTTGGGTTAAATTTTGGTGGGTTTGTAGATCTTGTCTGCAGATATGTTCTTTTGCAGGTATACGATATAGCTCACCAGTTTTGGGAGCAGTAATTGCTGATCTCACCGCAGCTTTTGCATTCATTCTATAGCATAATTTCCAGGTGAGTTTATTTGTATTTTATATTTTTTTTTAATTTTGATTCAGAGCTAGCGAAATTATCAGTTAGGATATATATGTTAAAAGAGCTTTCTAACACCATGTTGAATCTGAGTAGTCCTTTGATTCAGCTGGAATCAAGAAAGTACTTATAGGTTCAGTCTTGTAACTAGAAAGAAGTTAGAATTGAATTACTTTAATACAAGGACATTGCTTCTGTGAATTCTGTAGAGATCCTATGAAATTTATTGCCAACTTTATAGTTTTATCTAAAAGCTTATTATGATCTTAGAATGGAAAAGCTAGACTTGAGAGTTCAAAGTAGTCTAGCCAAGTCTATGGTTCTGTGGTATCAATTACTGGGGCATTAACTGCGACTTTGTACAAGGGCCCAGCAATTGCAATTACTTCATCTCTGGGCAATTTACATACTGAATTTCTATCACAACAAAAAAAAATGTGGTGATTGGAGGTTTCTCTGGCAGCTGGTAGCTTTCCCTGTCACTATATTATGTTTTTTTGGTAATGTATGTATATCAGAACAATCTTTTGACCTGAATAGCTTTCATGCTCTAAATAACGGCAATTTTTTGACCTGAAACTCTTTCTCTTCATATCCAGACCTCTCTTATAGGATGTACCCTGAGGAGCTGATGGTAACATTTTAGTTGCACTTTTGTGACCTTTCAATCTGCCATATTTGCTCTAATTGTAGAGCGAAAACCAAACGCTTGGAAATTAAAACCAGACGTGGAGTTGATGGCTATTGCGTATTCGGTAAGTATAGAAAAGAGTTGTGTACATCTTAAGAATTGTAGAATTGTCCTCATTATCAGTTTTCTCAATATTGTAATAACTTGCATCTGGTGTTTCATATCTAGGCAATTTTTTGCATAGCAATTCTAGGTGTTGTGCCAACATGGGCACGTCGGAAGAAGGGACCTGTCTTATGTTTCCATGTTTAAGCGCTTTCGATAATCATCGCAGTTGTAATGGCGGTAACTTTCTTGGGGAAACTCTTCACCTTGGAAGGTATGTTTCTGAGATGAATATGATATTTCTCAGAAGGTTTGATTTAAAGGGATGGAGTTTTATTTATGTGCGTGTTGTGGGATCGCTATCATTGCTGTTGGGTTCTATGCAGTGATTTGGGGCCAAGCCGAAGAGGAAAAGGTGGTTGAAAAGGAAGGAATCAATAGCCTTAAGTCATCTTCTTGTAAAGCCCCTCTCCTGGAAAACAGAGTGATGGAAGCATAAATATAATGCTAAAGCCAAGTAAAAGTGTGATTTATTTAGCTGCAAAATAACTTCTCGGTGTCCTTATGAATATTATAAACTTTTGAGCTGTCTTTGTTTTCTTGATTATTGTTTAACTAAAAAAGGGGGATGGCTATTTGATACATGAAATATGAACAGCTAAGAAAGAAATAGAGGCGTTGGATAATTTACATTGGCTAGTATAACAAGATTTTCCTCTACATATATAATAATCATGTCAAAACCACCATTGAATGACCTGATGGTAAAAGAGTAAAAAAAGTTTCATAAGCTTTTGAGTCAAGGTTTCTAGGCCCAATAGAGGTAGTATAGAGAGACTTACAACTTAGGACCTTGAAGATTAGTTAAGGTATACGTAAGCTATACAGAAACACTTTGATTAAAAAAAAAAAAAAAAAAAAAAAAAAAAAAAAAAAAAAAATCTGTCAAATTTGAAGTTTTTATAAATGTCCGCTTTTTTTAAGGCATTCTTATTGAATAAAGCAATATTTTATACTGGGCAAACATAACTAAATATCCCTACTATCATTTCAAAAAAATTCAACCATGTAAAAATCCTAAACCTTTTTATCGAACTTTTTTACTTCAGGGTAAAAATTACAGATACCCCTTATAAGTCCTATTGGTAACTGATGCCCCTTGCCTCCAGCCTAATTTTTTCCTGCAATGATTTTCTTTTTCAAAGATGTTAATAAGATAATATCTTTTGATCACTCAAGATCTCAATAAAATCACACAATATGCCTCTAGAAAATCAAAAATTGTTCGACCAATCATTTACATTTTTTAATTTTTACGCTTTTGTTTTAAAAAATGAATTCGAAAATGAAAATCAGAAATTTAATTTTGTATTTTTAGAATTTGAAAATGAGTTCATTATTGTTTTCTAAAAACAGTAGTAAAAATGAAAATAGAGAATATGTGTTCACTAGTACTAGTGTAAAAACACTTTTATGACAAGAGATAACTTTTATTTAGTGTGAAAAATGAGAGGTATAATTAACAATTTTTAAATTACATAGCATTAAACATAATATTCGAACAAAATAAAGCTCCAAAATTGATTTTTTGAAGAAAAATAAATAAATAAAAAATTATGAGTATAGAGTTAAATTGAAAAGAAAATTAACACAACTTTTGATATAAAAAAAATAAAAATGGAAGAGATAAAGCTTGCAAATATTGGAAATAGGGTTGAATAATAGGGTCCGTTTGGTTTGTTATTTTGGATAGAATTTTAGAGATAGTATTGGATAGTTGAGTAGAGTGATTATTACGAGGTAAAATTTAAAAACTAACAAAAAAAACCCCTAGGTTTGCAAATTTAACTAAACACCCCAATATATAAAATTTTTATAAAATGACAAAAACACCCCCACCCACTCATAGTGCCAGATTCCGGCCACCACCGTCGGAATCTGGTCGAAATCTGGCGTTACAATGCAGACCGATCGGATTTGGCCGATCGTGCATCGATCTGGCCTTTTCCGGCTGATCTATAAATAGATCTGGCCGTCAATAGTCGAAAAAGGCCAGATCTGGTCGTCAGCAACGGCCAAAGATATAGCCGTCGTTGACGGCCAGATCTAGTGAATTACCAGCCAGTTCTAGTCGTTTGTACACCATTGTGATAGATTCCGGCTACCACCGACTGTGGTTACTGGAATCTGGCAACTATCGGTGGGTGGGGGTGTTTTTGTTAATTTTTAAACTTTTTTTTGGGGGTGTTTAATTAAATTAATAAACTTAAGGGGTCTAAAAGTAATTAAATAAAATATAATAGTAGTTCCTAGATAATAAAACAAAAAGTTATTTTGGGAATAGGGTATGAAATAATAAAATAATTTCCCGTGATAATATCCCTACTATTTTTGTACTTTTTTTATTTTTCACATTTCTTAAGTTATTTTTTTTGAGATTATTTTATTATATAATGGTTGAAACTATTCAGAATTTTTTATTTAAAAATTTAGATTTTTTGTTTCAACTTTTTCCGTTGTTTACATTCTTTTTTCATTTTTTAATTTACTTATTAAAATTTTCAGATTTTGATTTCTTGATTAAAGTTTCCCCCTACAAGCGGGTCATACGTTTTGGCGGTAAAGGAAAGTTAGCACCTAGATACATTGGCCCTTTTGAAGTGTTGCA